CTCATGCATGCAAGGGAAGCACTCTACCACTGAGCCAACCTCCCAGCGGCCTCCAAGTCTTGACCTGGGATAGACACCAGTCCAACTATCAAAGCAGTTGTTCCTCTTATTTGGCTTTAACATTTCAGAGAAATAGAGGCAGCTACCATCTAAGATAACCAGGGAAGCAGTGATGAGTTTCAGCCATCTAATTAAACCAGTATTAAATAGTTCCAAGACTACAGTTTAAATACAGTTCTGGAGACTAAAATAAATGTCTTATAGTAACATTCAAGAAACATCCCTTCTTCGCTGGGCCTTTGGGGCAGAGTTCTCCTACAGATCCCTTGACCAGTGATGAGGCCCTCCACGATTCAGTCACTACAGTCCACTGCCACCACCGCCACCTCCGCCACCACCACCACCAGGACTCCTTAGCTTACCCCGTGATGATGGGTGTTTGGTTCTATAGAACCATACATGCACCCAAAGGACCATGGGATTTACTTAAGTTTCCTATTTCCACAATGGAGCTGGGGCTGATGGAAGAAACACAGAGTAGTGTGAAGAGATAAAATAAGCGATTGAGAAAAGGATGGTGAAAAATAAAGTCACCACTGGGCCCCCTCCCCTCCTTTTTCCCTTGGAGACTTGATGTGGAGACACTACACAACCTGAGCCAAGCTTCCAGTCCTCTTTATGTTATTTTTCAGATAGGGTCTTCAACTCAGGGCCTGGGCACTGTCCCCGAGCATTTGTGCTCAAGACTAGTGCTCAACCACTTGAGCTACAGCTTCCCTACAAAATTTTAGTGTTTAGTTGGAGATAAGAGTCTCACAGACTTTCATGTCAGGGCTGGATTTGAACTTCAATCCTCAGATCTCAGCCTCCTGAATAGCTAGGATGACAGGTGTGAGCCACGGGCACCTGGCAGGTCTTGCATTTTTGCCCCAGCCAGCCTGGGACATAATTTTCCTGTTTAAACCTTTCCTTGTAGTTGGGATGACGGGCATGTACTTCCATACCCACATTTTTTTTTTTATTGGTTGAGATGTGATCTTGCTAACTCTTTATCCTGGCTAGCCTTGAACAGTAATCTTTCAAGGCAATCTCTGTTGTAGCTAGCTAGTAGCATGCACAAACCACTGTGCCCAGCCCCCAATCTCTTTTTGGCAAAGGCAATTCTGAGCTACATCAATTCAACTGTGAGTCATCTCTCCCTCAGCCACTTACTCTGATCTGCATAGTTTTTGGCCTTCAACTCCAGCTGGCGTGTCTGGAACTCATAGTGCTCCACCTGGATTTGTAGCTCTTTCTTCTCTTGTTCCAAGGCATCTTCAAACTCGATGAATTTCTGCGTGTGGGAACAAGAGCAGGCCTGGTTAGTGTTTACGCGCAGGAGGTGACACCAGCCCTTTACAGAAAGGACCACAAGTGTCACAGACCCAAGAGGCCAATCATGCCTCTGAGGCCTGGAGCAGCCAGTGGGGGCCAGAGTGGGCCTCTCCTGGTCCTAGACCCTCCTCGATCCCTTTGCGGGGCCACTCCCTGCTCCAGGCAAACGTCAGCACAGACAAGGCCCAAGAACACACAAGAGGAATACAAAACTGTTCTGGAAGCTACTTCACGAAGGACTAGGAATTCTTGTACATGAGTACTCTCATGTACCTTGGGTTTGGTTAATGCCCCACTGTTGCCATCTTGAATTTTTAGCTTGCCTTGTGTGCGACAGAATAGAATTTACTCGTGTGCATCCCCCCCCCCTCGGTTGTGGGGTTTGAACTCGGGCTTGGGCGCTGTCCCTCAGCTCTTCAGCTCAAGGTTAGCTAGTGCTCTACCACTTGAGCCATAGCACCATTTCCTGTTTTCTGGTGGTTCTTTGGAGATAAGAGTCTCACAAAAGCCGGGTGCCAGTGGCTCACGCCTGTAATCCTAGCTAATCAGGAGGCTGAGATCTGAGGATCGTGGTTCAAAGCCAGCCCTGGCAGGAAAGTCCATGACTCTTTTTTTTTTAACTGTATTTTTTTTGTCTTTTCTTTTTTGGTACTGGGGATCGAACCCAGGACGTTGCGCTTGCTAGGCAAGCGCTTTGCCACTGAGCTACATCCCAGCCCTAGTCCATGACTCTTATTTCCAATAAACCACTCGGAAACCAGAAGTGGCACTGTGGCTCAAGCAATAGAGTGCTCACCTTGAGCTAAGAGTGCAGGGACAGCGCCCAAGCCTAGAGTTCAAACCCCATGACCAACCAAAAAAAAAGAGAGAGAGAGAGAGACTCACAGACTTTCCTGCCCAGGCTGGCTTTGAACCTTGATTCTCAGATCTCAGCCTCCTGAGTAGGATTACAGGCGTGAGCCACCGTCACCCAGCTAGCTTTATTTTTACTTTTTATCTCTTCTTTTTAATTTTGTTTTTGAGAGAGGATTCCAATACAACTTTGCCTGGGCTGGCCCCTCCATCTTTCCTGTCTCAGCATCCCACGTGCTGGGATTACAGGTGTACACACCATGCCCAGACTGAAAGGGGATACTCCTGACAGATCTGAGCTGGAAGAGGTGGCGTGAAGAAGGCGCCGAGTGTGGCCCCAGCCTCTGCAGAGGCCCAGGCACGGAGGCAACGCCTGCTCCCACAGCATCAGCGTAGAGGAGGTGTGCCAACGCTTGAGTTTTACTGAGTAGGAAATGGGAATATTATCAAAAAGATTCATTTGCAGAAAGCAAAATATCTAGATGGCTAAGAAAAAAAAAAGACTTCTCAAAAGCAAGGAACATAAAGCTGGTAGACTTTACCGGGTGTGTCTGGAAGAGCGACTTGTGTGCACAGGTGCAGCTGTGACCCCCCCCATAGTGGAAGTGTTGTTCCCCTCCCCCCCTGGCCCACCTGTCCTGGGCTTGAACTCTGGGCCTGGGCACTGTCCCTAAGCTTCTTTATGCTCAAGGCGAGTGCTCTGCCACTTGAGCTACAGCGCCACTTCCTGCTTTTTCTATGTATGTGGTGCTGAGGAATGGCACCCAGGGCCTCATGCACACTGGGCAGGCACTCTACTCTAAGCCACCTTCCCAGCCCCACAGTGGAAGTCCTTTCCATAGCAGCCCATCCCACGGCTCTATTTGAAAGATGACTCAGCCTGTGCCATCAGTGGGGGTGGGAAACCCCAAAGGAAGGGGCTGTGGAGGAAAGGCTATAGCAAGAAGGAAGCTGGATAAAATGAAGGGGAAAAAAAAAAAACAAAAAAACACTCTACAGCTTGAAAACTACAGTATTTTTTTCTTTTTTTTACAACTGTACAAAAAAAATCAAATAAATGATTTTGAATTATCTGCGAATACCATCAGTACAAGAATTATAAACACGTTATTGATCGTTGAGCTGTGTGAGGGAAGGGGAGGAAAGGTGCTGGGGATTGAGCCCAGGGCTTCATGCACATAACCATATGCTCAGTCATTGGGCTGACTTTGAACTGTGATATTCAGATCTCAGCTTCCTTAGTAGCTAGGATTACAGGCATGAGCCACCAATACCCAGCTGAATAGATGGTTTTAAGCCATACCTCAACCTTCCCTCTCACTAACAATATCATATTTTAAAACAGTATTCAAGCCAGGAGCTGGTGGCTCATGCCTGTAATCCTAGATACTCAGGCGGCTGAGGGCTGAGATCTGAGAATTGTGGTTTGAAGTCAGCCTAGGCGGCAAAGTTTGTGAAATGCTTATCTCCAATTAATCACCAAAAAGCTAGAAGTAGAGCTGTGGCTCATGTGGTAGAGCAGTAGCCTTGAGCAAAAGAAAGCTCAGGTACAGAGCTCAGGACCGGAGTTCAAGCCCCAGGACCAGCACCAAAAAAAAAAAAAGTAGAACGCCAGGCCTAGTGGCTCATGGCAGTAACCCCTACTACTCAGAAGGGTCTTGGTTCAAGGCCCAGATCTCTGGGACAAAGGCTGGGACTCTATCTCAATAAGCAATAAGCAGGGTGTGGTATATAAACCATGACCCCAGCTCCACAGGAGGAGTAGGTAGGAAGATCTCAGGCTAAGGCTGGCCCAGTCGAAAATTCAAGATTGTACCTAAAAAATAGCTAAAGCAAAACAAACCAGGTACATGGTTCAGTGGAAGGGCACTTGCCTAGCAAGCACAGACCCCGGACCTGATACTGTCAGGTACCCTAAGACCCCCCCAAAAAACCCTACACAATGGAACTAGCATGGAGACATGTCTAATCCCACTGAGAGGCAAAGGCAGGAGGGATCTTGAGTTTAAGGCCAGCCTGGAACATACAGTAAGACAAAAAACCCCAAACAGGGCTGGGAAGGTGGCTCAGGGGTAGAGCGCTGGCCTTGCATGCATGGCGCCCTGGCTTCGATTCCTCAGCACCACATAAGCAGAAAAAGCCAGCAGTGGCGCTGTGGCTCAAGTGGTAGAGCACTCGCCTTGAGCTAAAGAGCTGAGAGACAGTACCCAGGCCAGAGTTCAGGCCCCACGACTGACAAAAACAAAACCAAACCAAACCAGAAAAACCCCAAACAAACCATGGAATTGTTCTTTACACAATGGAACACCACACTGAGGGAGGATACAGGCAACAACTTGCAGAGTGAATAAAGCCAAACAAATCAAAGGCCTCTATGCCGCACAATTCCACGCCACAGACTTCTAGAAGATGCACGCTAATCCAGGGTAGCAGCCAGCAGAGGTGGTTTCCTGGGGGCAGGGAGGCAGAGGACAGGACTGCGGAAGGGAATGCCTCGGTGGTGGGCACTTTTCCCTCCTTTATTGTGGGGACGACACACTCCTCAAACTGGGCACTGAACATGTGTAGCTGGGCATGTCAGCGGACTCTCAATGACAGTGCTAAGCCCCTTCCCAATAAGAGAGGAATACTAGAGAAGGAAGGCCAGGCCTCATCCTATTCCTGTCAGCACTTCCCAGTGCAAAGGCTTTCCCAGCAGACACCCCAGCCCTGCAGGATGTCATCACCTCCTCCCTGCGTTTCCTAGACAGCCGACAGCCGACACCCTGTCCTGCCCGCCCCATCTTCCACTACCTGCTCTTCCATAGCAGCAACCCACCATCTGGAACGCATCCACTGAAAAATTCCAACCACTGCTAAAGCATCTTCCTTTCTGGCCTGAAACGAACAACTTATCTGCCTTCTCTAAGGCAGGGAGAGGCAGTGACAGCAGCCATTTGCTGCTCCAAATACAGTCCCTGACCCTCAGACCCAAGCGTCATGTGGAGAGGTGGAAGCCGGCTTGCCTTCTCATCTACACAGGCTGGTAACTTTCCAGTGCAGAGCCCGGGAGGAGAAAGCAAGAAAAGAAAGGGTGTATCCCTTTTCAGGTCATGAGCGGGAGACCCAACAGAGGGCTACTGGGGACCACTCAGGCTGGCCCGGTACCATTAGATGCTAGGAGTCAGGAGGAGACAGGAGTGGCTGGGTAAGCCCTGGAGGACACAGACTGGGAGGTGGAAGTCCAGGTCCCTCCCAGTTCAAGGGAGACCTGAGCAAAGCAGAGCCTCTAGGTCAGCGTCCCTCCCAGACACCCTTCGAGGCCACAAGGCTCAGCAGTCCTGGTCCTTCCTCCTTCATCTGGTCACCTGCTCTCATGAAAACCATCCGGGGAGCACATCCTGCAAAGTGACAGAGCTGCACTGTCATATGCCAAGGTCACAGAGAGCAGAGAACAAGGGATTACTCCAGAATGCAAGAGGCTGCAGGGGTAGGCAGGAGCCTGGGGTCTCAGCAACATGGGAAAACATGGTCATTTTGCCGTTTTTTTTCTGTATATTAATTGAAAGCAGAACATTTAAAAGTAGTTGTATTTAAATAAGGACTCCTGATTTTGGAGGAACTGGTTTCTATTGGTGCTTGGTCCCACCGCCAGTCTGCTGGGCAGCAGACCTCTGAGGCTGCTGGTCACAGAGAGATGTCCAGAGGCTCCCAGCCTCCGGCCAGCTTCCCCCATGCTTTCTGGCTGGCAAGCACACTTTCTGCCCATGGCTCCTGAACTTGTTTCCATCTTTCAAAGTGGTGGTGAGATGGTATGTGTGTTCAGTGATTCAGTGCTTGTCTGGCGTACTCAAAGCTCCGGACTCAATCCCCACTGACACAGGGGATCTATTCTTTTTCTTTTTGTCAGTCATGGGGCTTAAACTTGGGTCCTGGGTGCTGTCCCTGAGTTCAAGACTAGCATTCTGCCACTTTGAGCTAAAGCGCCTCTTCCATTACTGTGGTCTCATGGACTTTCCTGCCTGGGCTAACTTCGAACTGTGATCTTCAGATCTCAGTCTCCTGAGTAGGGTTATAGGCGCAAGCCATTGGCGCCTGTGGAGAATTACTTTTTAATACAAAAAAAAAACAACAAAAAAAATTTAAGTAAATGCAACTCTGGTACTGCTACACTGGGTCAACTAACTTACTTTTTTTTCTTTCTCTCTCTCTTCCTTCCTTCCTCCTCTTTCTCCCTCCTTCCTTCTTTTCTTTCTCTCTTTCTTCCTTTTTTTTTTTTTTTTTTTGGGTCCGGTCGTGGGGCCTGAACTCTGGGCTAGGGCGCTGTCCCTCAGCTCTTCAGCTCAAGGCTAGCACTCTACCACTTGAGCCACAGCGCCACATCTGGCTTTTTCTCTGCTTATGTGGTGCTAAGGAATCGAACCCAGGGCCTCAAGCATGCAAGGCAAGCGCTCTACCACTGAGCCACCTTCCCAGCCCCTGGACCACCTTTTGGAGGCAATGAGGAAAAGCAGCTCTGGCTACCACCTTCCAAGAGCTTCATCTAGAAAAATCAATGTTTAAGACTGCTCTCAGGGGCTGTGGGTAGAGCTCAATGGTACAATGCCTTGCCTAGAATGGACTAGGCTCCAGACCGGATCCCTAACAAATCAGGAAAAAAACCTACTTTTAATACTACAAGGTGACAGAAAAAGAAATCACACATATTACAAGTAAGAATGAACTTACTATTTGTAATATGGGACAAGAACACGAAATTCTGATTCAATCTATTCACTTATGAAAGGTCATTTTTATTGAGGAGGATTTTCTTTTCTCCCAGCTTAATTCTACCTTAATGTTCTTTTGTGAAATAGATTGCTTTTAGAAAAACAAGTCTTGGGACAAACTCTCTCTAGCAGGCACTGGTGGTTCATGCTTGTAATCCGAGCTTCTCAGGAGGCTGATATCTGATGATCGTTGTTTGAAGCCAGCCCATGCAGAAAGTCTGAGACTAGGCTGGGCACTGGTGGCTCACCCCTGTAATCCTAGCTACTAGGAGGCTGAGATCTAAGGATCATGGTTCAAAGCCAGCTCAGGCAGTAAAGTCTGTGAGACTCTTCTCTCCAATTAACCACCACAAAACTGGAAGTGGCACTATAGCTTAAGTGGTAGAGCGCTTGCCTTGAGCTGAACAGCTCAGGGACAGCACCCAGACCAAGTTCAAGCCCCATGACAAAAAAAAAGTCTGAGACTCTTATTTCCAACTAACCAGCAAAATGCCAAAAGTAGAGATGTGATTCAAATGGTAGAGAGCCAGCCTTGAGAGAAAAAGCCAAGGAAAGCCTGGTGCTGGTGGCTCACATCTGTAATCCTCACTACTCAGGCTGAGGTCTGAGAATCACAGTTCAAAAGCCAGTCTAGGCAGGAAAGTCCATGAGATTTTTATCTCCAACTAACCACCAGAAAACTGGAAGTAGCACTGAGGCTCAAAGTAGATCGCTAGCCTTGCCCCAGAAGAGCTCAGGGACAGCACCCAGGCCCTAAGTTCAAGCCTCATGACCAAAAAAGCCAAGGGAGAGTGTAAGGCTCCAACTTCAAGCCCCAGTATTAACAACAAAAATTTTCCTCTGTTGGGGCTGGGAAGGTGGCTCAGTGGTAGAGTGCATGCCTTGCAAGCATGAGGCCCTGGGTTCAATTCCTCAGCACCACATAAACAGAAAAAGCCAGGAGTGGCGCTGTGGCTCCAGTGGTAGAGCACTAGCCTTGAGATGAAGAGCTGAGGGACAGCGCCCAGACCCAGAGCTCAGGCCCCATGACCGGCAAAAAAAATTAAAAAAAAATTTAATTTTCCTCTGTTTGCATGCTTTCTTCACATAGCATAAAAACCAAATCATCAGCTCATCAGCTGATAGCTGCATACATGTCTCATGGCCAGAAAACCTGCCTGAGATGCTTGGGATGCATGGAGGGCTGCTATGAGCAGTTTTTTTTTTTGGGGGGGGTTGTTTTTTGTTTTAGAATAGAATAATTTAAGGCAAATAATGACTAATACTGTTCCTCATTATTTTTCCTCTTATAGTTTAAGTGTTTGATCATGATAAGGAAAGAGGCTCTGCTGCCTGGGAACACAGTAAACACAGCCTCCCTCCAAGATTTATAAGATCATGGGTGGTCCTCTCGGTGCTAGCAGTCAAACCATTTTGTACCAGAACCTGTCCAAGCAGAAACTGTCCAAATCACAACTACCAGGCACAGTCCATGAGACGCAAGGCTTGCCGAGTCCCCACTGGGCTGTGCTAAAGCCCCTTGCCATAATTCTTCAGGGCACTGGAGATGGAACTAGCTTGTCACCTCTGGCAACCCACTCACTTGACGAGGGTGGACGCTGGCCTGGAGACCGAGAGAAACCCAGTGGATGTGCAATCCATGTTGGTACCTGAAGACTCCAGGGATTGAGCCCCTCTGCCAGGATCCCAGAGGGGCCTTACCAGGAACCTCACTATGGTTATTATAGGCCAGAAGTGAAGGATGCCCTGCTCGAGGCAGATTCTCTCAGAGGCTGCTGGTGGATCAGGTTACCCATCTCTGACTAAGCCTAACTGAGCGGAGTGGAAGGGACAGCGTGTGCTGACAGCGGCTCCTCTGCACCACTGCCTGCCTCAGCTCCGGGGCTTACACACATCTGTG